AAAGAAAGAAAGAAAGAAAGAAAGAAAGAAAGAAAGAAAGAAAGAAAGAGAAAGAAAGAGAAAAGGAAAGGAAAGGAAAGGAAAGGAAAAGTAAAGTAAAGGAAAAGGAAAAGTAAAGGGAAGGGAAGGAAAGGGAAGGGAAGGGAAGGGAAGGGAAGGGAAGGGAAGGGAAGGGAAAGGAAAGGAAAGAAAAGGGAAAAGGAAAGATGATTAGTGTTGGGGGATAGAGGGGCTCAGTCTGTAATGGATGACATCAGTTTGTATGCTAACCTAAAAATTAATTAAAAGTTAAAAAGTGCACAATATAGAAATGTTTCAAAGCATTACATAGCATCCTATTAATGCACACAATTTATATGTTTCAGTTTTTAAAATTAATTTTAATTTTAAAATAGTTTTAATTTTAAAATATTGAAATTTAAAAAAATGTCATTGGGTCTATTGCCTACACCTGGCTTTGGTCATTATTAAATCCCTTGATCTTAAGGTCAGTCTGGAGATGTCAAGAAATAAAAATTTCTATACTGTTAATTAATTATGTTTTAGGAAAAACAAAAGAAAATTCTGCATGTGGCATTGAAATTGAGGATTGTGGAGGTATACACACACATATATGTGTGTTTTATAGCAGATAGTGAAAAAAGAGGCCATGAATTTTAAAGGGGCAAGGTAGAGGATACATGGGTAGGTTGAAGGAAGGAAAGGAAGAGATAAATGATGTAATTACAGTATAATTTCTAATAAAATTTTTAAAATAGGATTCCCTGCACTCTGCCCAAAGTTTGGTTAAGAGTCTCAGCATCTGCTTTGATACACTGCTGGGTGGAGTCTTTCAGAGGCCCTCTGTGGTAGGCTCCTGTCCTCTTTCCTGTTTTCCCCATCTTCCATTGTCCATCCCATTTGTTTTTCTAAGTGAGGCTTGATCATCTTACCCAGGGTCCTCCTTCTTGTTTAGCTTCTTTAGGTGTGCAGATTTCAGTATGTTTATCCTATCTTACAGGTCTAGCATACCCTTATAAGTGAGTATATACCATGTGTGTCTTTCTGCTTCTGGGAGACCTCACTCAGGTTGATCTTCCTAGATCCCACCATTTGCCTGCAAATTTCATGATTTCCTTGTTTTTAATTGCTGAGTAATATCCCATGTACCACAGTTTCTGTATTCATTCCTCCATTGAGGTTGAAACAACATCTGGGTTGTTTCCAGGTTCTGGCTGTTACAAATAAAGCTGCTACGAACTATGAAAGAAAGGGGAGATAGTGGGACCTGGAAAGGACAGGAGCACCACAAGAAGAACAACAGAACCAAAATATCTGGGCACAGGGGTCTTTTCTGAGACTGATACTCCAACCAAGGACCATTCATGGAGATAACTTAGAAGTCCTGCTCAGATGTAGCCCATGGCAGATCAGTCTCCAAGTAGGTTTCCTAGTAAGGGGAACAGGGTTCTTTGAACACCCCCTCCCTGAGAGGGGAGCAGCCTTGCCAGGACACAGAGAAGGATAATGCAGCCAACCCTGTTGAGACCTGATTATCTAAGGTCAGATGGAAGGGGAGGAGGATTTGGAGTGGGGTATGGGAGGAAATGAGGGAGGGAGGGTGGGATTGGGAGGGAATGAGAGAGGGGGCTACAGCTGGGATACAAAGTGAATAAACTCTAATTAATATTAAAAAATAAAAATTTAATGTAAAAATTTTAATATAAAAAGCAAGCATAGTATGCCATTTAGTTTTGCATGCAAAGAAAAAAAAAGATGTCATTAATTTTCTTTTCATTGCCTCCTGTCTCTGCATCCTGTAAAACCATAATAGACCTAACACAAACCAGTATAATTAGTATAAAGTCCACTAAATATCTAAATGTCTACCCTCCTCTCGGGAGTCCTTTACATAAAAGTAGGCATGCCTTTTTTTTTCACTGCTTTGTACAAAATTATGTGTCTACTGAATTTTGTAAAATATGAGTCACCATAACTAATGTGTTCTATTCCAAAAATCAGTGATTTTTGATTCAAAAATCACTTGAAACTTGATTCAAGTTCCTTATTAATTATGTGTACTTGATTTGTAATCAAGTGGTCTCTCAACTGTCCCTGGAAAATAGGCTGTTAAACTGTCTTAAGTACCCAGAGGTAGAAATAAATATAGCTCTGCATGAAATTATGTAACTAAATGTGATAATGAGGAAAATTATTTTCTTTTAATTATTTACTTTTAATTATTTATGTTCTCATGATATAATTGCATAATGACTTTCAGAACCATGTTCAATGAACTTATCAAAGGGTTGTGTGTTAGTTCACTACCATTTATAAAACAATGGTAGTGAACTATTGTGAACACTATTCTCAGTGTATAGAGTGTAAGAAAGAATGTAAGCACAGAAAGTATTAAATGAAACAAATAATGCAATTCAACACAGGCCTCCAAGAACAGACAAAAACCAAATACAAGCTTAGAGAAACAGAAAAGAAATCACACACACACACACACACACACACACACACACACACACGAAAGAAAGAAAGAAAAAAGAAAGAAAGAAAGAAAGAAAGAAAGAAAGAAAGAAAGAAAGAAA